ACAGTGGCTATATATAGAAAAGTGGCTTGCAAAATCTTTTATTTTGGAATGACACTCAATGCACTTGTGAATTCGATGACACCTTATGGAGACAGAAAAATGGCATAAAGATATTGTAAACCAAAAAGTAAGGGAAAACTATATTAATGTTTATTAATTAAAGTCAAAATGGTTAAATCAATTATCTTTAGAAATTTATAATTTGAAAATTTGCTTGAAAATAAGCTAGAGTGAGTGTAAAAACTCTTAACACCAGTTAAAATCTCTCTGGAATAAAAAGAATCAGATTAACACACTCAACTGTTACAAGATAAAAGCACAAAATATACAATTAGTGTAAAAGATAAAAATGATAAACTCCATGGAAAAATGGAATGAAAGTACAAGTTAATTTTTTTTTTTTTGGAGAGGTTTTTCGTTATAGGGCGCGTGCGCTCGCCAGACAGACAGAGAGAGACATAGAGACAGAAAGCGAGAAATCACCCCCCAGGGGGGATGGTCACGCCGCAATCCCTTCTCCTCCATTCTCCTCTCAGGCACGTACACACACGCGCCCGGCGTGAGTTTTAAGCCACCAGGTCCAGGACTCGAACCGCGGTCGACTACGTGGGAGTCCAGCGACATAGCCATTACGCTAACTGCTGGTTCCCAAGTACAAGTTAATTTTTGTGCACAAAAGTTTGAAATCTAAGCATAGGTTTTTAATATGTATTTTCCGTATATTTTTGAAGACCCCTCATATATCAAGAACAAATATTACCTGATTTTCTTCAAAGCTATGTTGATTCTATTTTTTCTGTTACGTTGTCTCCTTTGCTTGTAAGAGGGTTTTGCTTTGCTTTTAGATGTACTTCCACTTGCCTTACTTGAACCGAGTTTATACTTAGATGTACCTCCATTTGTCTGACTTGAACTGGGTTTACTTGCACTGCATGCAGTTGTAAATTGAGTCTTACTTGTCTTAGATTTACTTCCATTAGATTTTGAGGGATTTTTAGCAGTGGTATTTTTAGACTTTGGAGGTGAGACCTGAAGAGAAGAAGTGCTTGGAGCACAACTGGAAGGTGTGGCTGAGGCTCCTGATTGAAGAGGTCCAAGTGAAGCTCGAATAGTAATCTGAAAAATACCAAAAAAAATCCAAAAAACATTTTATTTTTAGAAAATCGATCATTGGGTCCAGCAGGTGGTGTGGTGGTTAGGGGAGCTGGACTCCCACATGGCTAACAACAGTTTGAGTCCTAGACTTGGTGGTTTGCTTTCTTACTTTCTCTCTCACTCATTCTGTCCTTCACTGGTCAAATTAAAATAAATAAACGAATGAATAACGTTACATAGAATAATTCTTTAAAAAAAGAAAACTGATCATTACATTAGTATTAAAAACATACAACCCCCCACATTTATGTTCAATTGGTTTTTGATAAAACAATTCAATGGAGGAGAGAATACTTTTATTACCAAATGATGCTAGAAAAACTGATATTCACATGAAAAAGAGAATTTGGACCCCTACTTCATACTATATAAAAAACTAATTCAAAATGCAGCAAGGCTGGACCAGTCCTGTAGCACAGTGGTTAAGGGAGCTAGATCCCACATAGCTAACTGTAGTTTCAATATTAGCCCTGGTGCCTTGGGAAAGCTCTATAGCAAAACAAACAAACAAACAAACAAAAACAGCTCTACAGTAAATGTGACCTTCTCTTTCTAGGGTCTCATTAGGCAGAATTTCTGCTTCCAAAGGTTATGGGGAAGATTACATCAATTCATCATACAATATGGACATTTTAAAAAAGAATTATTTAATCTTATTTATCATTATTACAATTTTTTAATTTGCTAGAGGGCATGTCCACTCATGAGAGAGAAAGTGAGAAAGCAAGCTGGCAGGTCTGACACTTGAACCGCAGTCAGCCATGTGGGAGACTAGTGCCTTTAACCACCATGCCACCTGCTGGCCCTGGATATGGACATTTTAATAATGCTTAATGAATTTCCTTAATGGAACAAACATAAAATTTATCATGTAGTATTTAGAAAATGTTCAGTTATATTCACTGGTTATAATGGGAAACAGTCACCTATTAACATACTCTTTAATCATTTAACTATAGTTCCCTTCCACATTTCAGGAGCAGTCTATGTGAAGTCCTGTAAAATACATTTAGTTTGCTATCATATAAAAAACACTGGATTAGGAGTAAAAATACCTGAGGTTAAATATTAGCACTACTTCCTAACCATGAGAGCTTGAGTAAGAAATTTACCTTCTCTAGGCCTCCATATATATAATAAGGATAAAATCTGCCTTGCCTACCCTCACTGAGTCACTACATGGATTAAGTAATAGAATGTAAGGAAAGGCATACTGGTCTTGACTGATATGCACTGGGTGCTAGGAAAAAACCATGTTGTACAATGTAAAGATCAATAGCGATTACATGTAAATAATATAAATAAATAAATAAATAAATAAAACCTGGCATGGCAAAATAGAAAAAGGAAAAGGCATACTGGAAAGTTAATTTTAAAGTGATAAGCCATTTAGTATCATTATAATTGATAATACATCATTATTATTGCTCTAATTCTTTTTTTTTTTTTTTTTAAGAGAGATTTCTGCTATAGGGTGCATGCACTCCCTGGAGAAAGAGAGACAGAAAGCAAGAACTCACCCCCCTAAAGGGGATGGCCATGCCACAATCCCTTGTCTTTCATTTTCCTCTTGGGATTTTGGGCATGCAGGTACACACACCTGGCATGCGTTTCAAGCCTCCAGGTATGGGATTTGAACCACAGTTGGCCATGTGGGAGTCCAGCAATGTAACTATTATGCCATCTGCTGGTCCCCTATTGCTATATTTCTAATAAGGGATGACATGAGAGGTCTGCACTGCTTACATTACTGTTTTGTGTAACTAGTCCCAACATGATTGCAGAGAAGGACATTGGAGAGTTTTCTCTCCATTACAGATGTTCAGAGCATTGCTTTCCATTATTATTAGTATTTTTAAAAGAACTATTTATTTAATTTTATTCATTCAGTCATTTATTTTAATTTGACCATAGACAGAGACAGAGAGAGAGAGAAAGAGAGAGAGAGATGGAAATTGAGAAAGCAAGCCACCAGGTCCAGGACTTGAACTGTGGTCGGCTATGTGGGAATGTCCAGCGCCGTAACCACCATGCCACCTGCTGGTCTCTATTTTTTTAACTTTGTTTTGTGATTTGCCAGAGGGTGTGGGCACTCACTGGATAGAGATAGAAAGAAAGCACCCCTTATAGGAGATAGTCAGGCCACAATCCCTTCTCCTCCATTCCTCCCTGCTTTTGGGATTTGAAATGTGCACACACACCTGGTGTGCTTTCCAAGCCACCAAGTCCAGGACTCAAACCATACAGTCAGCCATATGGGATCTAGTGCCTTAACAACCATGCCAACAGCTGGCCCTAACTTTTTTTTTATTGCCAGTGGGTATATATGCTCAGGAGAGAGAGAGAGAGAGAGAGAGAGAGAGAGAGAGAGAGAGAGAGGGCAGTCCCCCCACAGGATATCATTTCTCAATGTTTTTCTCCTTTTCTCCATCCTGCCAGGATTTTGAGCATGCAAGCACATTGCCTGATGTGTTTTTCAAGCTGCTGGGGCTGGGATTCGAACTGCGATTGGTCATGTGTGATCCTGCTTCCAATGCTCAGTGTTTTATGCTATTTAGTTAATTCAAATAGCAGATACTCATATTCAAAGGCATATATTCATGCCCAAATACATATATCATTCTGAATTAACCATCCTTCCACTGGAGTAAATATTCAGGAGCTAACTTTATATGAAGAAATCAGAGAAAACATGAATATAAGACAAACAAGGAAATGGAAATCTGTAGTCACACATGTGCTTGCTCATTAAAAACATTATGCAGGGGCTGTCAGGTTGCGTGGTGGTTAAAGGCACTGGACTCCTACATGGCCTACTGCAGTTCAAGTTCCAGACCTGGTGGCTTGCTTTCTCACTTTTCCTCTCTCTGGACAAAGTAAAAAATAACAATTATAACAATAAATAAAATGAAATAGATAATTCTTATAAAAAAAAAAAAACCCAAAAAACAAAACAGGGGTTATAATGCAGGGGTCAGCAGGTAGCATAGTGGTTGAGGCTCTGGGCTCCCACATGGCTGACTGAGGTTCAAGTCCCGAATCTGGTGGTTTGCTTTTTCACTTTCTCTTTCTTTCTCTCTGGTGAGCACACATGTCTTGGAGCAAATTAAAAAATAACGATGACAGGGCCAGTAGGTGGCGTGGTGGTTAAGGTGCTAGACTTGCACACGGCAACTGCAGTTCGAGTTCTGGACCTGGTGGCCTTCTTTCTCTCTCCTTCTCACTGTCTCTCTCTGTTGAGTTCATGTGCCCTGTAGTAAGTTAAAATAATAATAATAGATAAAAAAAAAAACAAAGAAAAAATTAATTAATTTAAAAAAATACAGTAATGCTACCTAGGAGCAAAACTTGCTTCTCTCAGAGTAGATTCAGCAATACCAACTTCAGTAAGCCTATGATAATTACAGACAGTATGACAGATACTAAGGACACAAAGGTAAATGAAACATGATTCCTAATCTCAAACATCTTATAGTCTAGTAACTAAAATTACACACACACACATATAAATATATACACACACATACACACACACAATCAACTGGAATAGATGAAAAGCAACCTACTGAATATTAAAACCCAGTTACTCGGTCTATAGTAATCTAGTTTGATTCACTAGAAGGGAATACTACTCTAACAAATCACATTAATTGATGCACAACACAATGGCTTTAAGTTTTTCTTCTCAAGCATAGAATAATAAAACCTAAAATTAAGGACTTAATATCAACTGGAAGTCAATTTTTATTATTTATTTGATAAATAAAACTAGGCAGGAGTGGGTCAGCAGGCAGCATGGAAGTTAAGGCAGCTGGATCCCACATGGCCAACTGTGCAGTTCAAGTCTTGGACATGGCAGCTTGAAAAACACACCAGGCACTTATGTTTGGCCAAAGTACCAAGAGTAGAGAAGGACTGCAATGTGGCCTTTGCCCTGGGGGGGATGCTTTCTCACTTTTTCTTTGGTAAGCGCACATACCCTATCGAAAATTAAAAACAATAACAACAACAAAAAACAGGCAGGAATTTAATTATCATACTAAATAATGAAATACATTTAAAACTCACTTTTGTTCCAGGAGGCAATCCTTCTAGTTCTTTAGGTTTTATAAATGTACGATGCTGTAGATTGTGATCCATTTTCTCCTTGCAGGTCAAAAACTGTAGTCTGCATTTTGTGCAACGATGAATTCCTTTGTTCTGTTTACAGGGAATATTAGAAATAATATAAGAAATAATAACTTCTGGGATTGCCTCTAGCATAGTAGCTAAGCACTGAACAGAAGCAGCCATATCCTACATGGCCAACCAGGGTTTGTGTCCCACCCACTGTGGCTTAAAAAACACACTGGGCACGGGAACCAGCAGTTAGTGTAATGGCAATGTCACTGGACTCCCATGTAGTCGACCGCGGTTCGCGTCCCGGACCCAGTGGCATAGAACTCACGCCGGGTGCGTGTGCGTGTGTGCCCAAGATCCCGAGAGGAGAATGGAGGAGAAGGGATTGCGGCGTGACCATCCCCCCTGGGGGGTGATTTCTTGCTTTCTGTCTCTATGTCTCTCTCTGTCTTTCTGGCGAGCGCACGCGCCCTATAGCGAAAAACCTCTCCAAAAAAAAATAAATAAACACTGGGCAGGACCAGCAGTTGGTGTAATGGCTATGTTGCTGGGCTCCCATGTAGTCCACCATGGTTTGAGTCCCGGACCCGGTGGCTTAAACTCGCACCGGGCGTGTGTGTGTGTGCCCAAGATCCCGAGAGGAGAGTGGAGAATGAATTGTGGCATGGCCATCTCCCCTGGAGGGTGATTTCTCACTTTCTGTCTCTGTTTTTTCTGGAGAGCGTACGCGCCCTACGGCAAAATCCTCTCAAAAAAAAAAAAAAGGCAAGAAAAAAACCACACTGGACAAGCATGCACACACATATTCGGGATCCTGATGGGCTGAAGGGTATGGGTGGTCTTACTAGGATGAAAAAACCCAAGGATGTTAGTACCATTCTGATTACAACACAGGTGATCCTGAATGTATCTGGAAATTCTACCTTTATGATATTTTCCCAATAAAAAACTACAAATGAATTTCATGATTATCTATTGACTGGAACCAAATGTCATATCAGCACCAGTGCTGAATAAACTGGCCATGACAATGCAATCAATAAGAAAATGTAAGAAGGAGAGCCAGCAGGTGGTGTGGTGGTTAAGGTGCTGGACACTCCCACATGGCTGACCATGGTTCGAGTCCTGGACCTGGTGACTTGCTTTCTCACTTTCCCTTTCTTTCTCTCTGGTCAAATTAAAAAAAAAAAAGAATGAATAAATAAAATAAAATAAACAATTATTTTTTAAAAAAAGATAATCTAAGAAGGTAAAACTTGATTATACCAGGATGTCAGGAAAGTCATGCTGTATTTTTCTATGCAAAAATGCATCATGACTTTCTCAACAACCCAGTATCAGATTCAGCAAGTCCACTTCTAACTTTGGCAAAAGCACTATGGCTTTTTCAAATACTTAAGAACAGGCCAACCATTTCATCAAACATTTCAGCCCAAAGGACATTCTAATTGTTTCATGATAAAAAGAGCATAAAATAAGAATTGAAGGGAAAGATATAAGTCCTAAAACTAGTATCCTAGAAATTCCACAGAAGAACCGACAGAAGTCACGCAGGAAACAAATTCAAAGCTAAATACACTTCTTTGGCCTAGTTCACATATCTGGTGTCAGTGCTACTTCCTTAATTATTGGCTGCTACAAAAAACCATTTTGGGTCATTGATGACAACCATGTCTTCTCATAACAAAAAGTGGGCTAGAAAGTGAAAATAAGGTATAAAAACAAAGAAGAAAGCAGAAAGTTTTATGAGGCTTCAATCTTACCTTCCTCAGTTCAAACTTATTCTTTTCCCTGCTTTTGATAATTACCTTTAAAAGCACTCTCATTTTCACCAAAATATCCAATCTGAATCTTTCATTTAACTTTCCTGTTTTTCCTCCACCCTGGGGTTCCTATTTCTAGCTATCTTTTTTAGAACTGTTACTATTTAGTAGATTCTGAATAACCAGAAAGCAGGCAAGCAAAAGTAATTCAGCATATACAACAAACTAATTGTATCATTTGGAACAACTCTGCTTTCCATCCAGAAAAAAATCTAACCAATGTTCTCAGTTTACATACAGAAAGATATACAGATTTATATCTTTTCACTAAGACAACATGAACAAATAACAACTGCTAAATCTCACCTGATGCTTCATGTAATGATTCATGTAGGGAGTTGCCATTTTACTAACTTTGAGGCAAAATGGACATAGCAAGTTCTTAGTGTTTTCATGGGATGCTCTAAAATGAGCTTCTACATCAGAAAATGTTGATGATCTAAACTGGCAAACCTAGGAATATAAAGGAGGTTTAGTTTAATTTGGAATTTTGTAACTTATATGTAATTACATCCAAGCAACAGTGATAGGTCATTTGTTTAGAAGAACATTATGTACTACTAGTTCAGCCCTGTTGCCTATTCAACCAAGAATACTATTAATGGAGGTGATAAAGATAATCTCTGAAACAGAAAAGTTACCTATCAAAATTTAGGGATACATGAAGATTCCTTTAAAAGTTCATGGAATAATATAATTAAAGTATGAGTTTATTTTGGTGCAAAACTTTTTTGAAATCTATGCATAGTTTTTTCGTAGTGCACATTCTCCATGAACTTTTTGAAGATCGTCTTATATTTCAAAGCATAGTTTACAATACTTTCTTCTTTTCAGATCTGCTACTTTCTTTCCCCCCCCTTTTTTTTTTTGGGAGAGATTTTCACTGTAGGGCACGTGCGCTCGCCAGACAGAGAGAGACATAGAGACAGAAAGCGAGAAATCACCCCCCAGGGGGGATGGTCACGCCGCAATCCCTTCTCCTCCATTCTCCTCTCGGGATCTTGGGCACGCACACACATGTGCCCAGCGTGAGTTTTAAGCCACCAGGTATGGGACGCGAACCGAGGTCGACTACGTGGGAGTCCAGCAACATAGCCATTACGCTAACTGCTGGTCCCCGAGATCTACTACTTTCTATCTTGACCTAAATTTTCAAGCTCTAATAACTCTTGTTCTATAGTTTTTCCTGCTATACAAAACAGAATTATTTTCTTTAAATTTCAAATAGCATCCAGGCTATGCAATTTATCTTATCTTGCTTTCTTATTGCTGGGAGCCACTTAACATGAAAAAACACTGGTCTCAGAGCATTTACTTGAGTTCTCTATAACTAAGAGCATTTCCTATTTCCCTGACATGTCTATAAGGGGTCTTCAAAAAGTGCATGAGAAAATGGAGTAAAAGTATGAGTTTATTTTGGTGTAGGAAAAAATTGAATTCCATGCATAGTTTTTTTTTCCATAAAACATATTATGAACCTTCTAAAGACCCCTTGGATATTCTTCCCTACATGATAAGCCCTTATATGTTTATCTTTCTTTGGCAGTGTTTCTTTCC